GATAAAGTTGGAGAAGCTCCCAGAGTTGAGGTCAGGCATGTTGATCATGAAGTTGTTGATCCTCCTCCGTGTCTTCCCGTCACTTTAGAGTCCCTTTATAACTACATGACTGGTAGATTTTATGATATCTTTCACCGCTTTGATGCCATGTATACTCGTCTTGGCGCTTAGGAGGCTCGTTTCCCAAATCCTTATCCTCGTCCCATTCATTCTTCCCATGTTGATGATGTTGATGATAAGGATTGACCCTCATTTTCTTTAGCATTTCATGATACATTTAGGATCTTTGGATGTTTTAGGATATTTTTGCATTTGGATGTTTTGGTTATTTTGGATTTTTATGATTTCATATTTTGAATGTTTCAGATATTTTTTTACTTTTGCATATGCTTTTCCTATGACATTATTATTGATTTCTATTTTCTATATATATTCCTTATAGTATGTTGGATTATTATCTTGGCTTATTATGCTCTAATCTTCTATTCTCTTTTGTAGCTAACTGATTTTGATTAACAAAAAAAAGGGAGAACAATATCAAAAATACTTTTGATTAAATTTTTGTTTTTGATATAAATATTTTATTAAGATTTTTATAGTATTAAATTCTTTTTCAAAAGGTTGATAGTTTTCTTTGAATATATATTACCTTTTACTTACCCCATTAATAAAAAAAAGAAGTTAAATGAAAATTCATTGCTGTTGAATGATATATAATTTAACAAATTTTGGATCAAGAAAATTTTTACAAAAAATGTTTTGTTATATCAAAAAGGGAGAGATTGATAAACATGTGATATATAATTTAACAAATTTATGAAAAATTTTGGATCAAGAAAATTTTTACAAAAATTGTTTTGTTATATCAAAAAGGGAGAAATTGATAAACATGAATGATTTTGATATATATATATATATATATATATATATATTAATTTATGTAAAATTAATTTTATATCCCTAAAGTTTGTCCAATCTTTCAAATATGTTTTCTAAGTTAAAAAAATGTCAAAATTATCATCCAAACACTTTAGAATATTATTCAAAGTTAGATTTTTCTCAAAATATCAAAAATCATTATTTTAAACAAGCTTTGACTAAGAGTTTAGAACTTCTATAAGAATTTTGAACCTTACAAAAACAATGGACTTTGGAGTTTCAAAACTTCCTTTATAGTTTCGAAACTTTGGGGTTCAACGGTCAAAAATTTGTTTCCTCTTTCGTAGAGTTTTGAAACTTTCTCTATAGTTTCGAAACTTTTGTGTAGGTAACCTTTAATACAAGAATTTAAAGCTTCAAACAGCTTCAAACTCTCTTCAACAACCTTAAATGACTAGAAATCAATGAGATCACATAAAAGAGGTCTTCAAACAACCAAGTGAAGACAAGAAAGCGATTTCAACAATCGAAGAACAAATAGAGTCAAAATTCATATTCCTTTGTTTCTTTCAATGAACATTATTCCATTCATTGTAAACTTTGTTCTAGTGTCTTGGGTGTGTGTGAGAGCTTCATTTTGCAAACAATCTATTGTTGTGAGGATATTCAAAGTTTTCTCAATTTGTAATTTCTTCTTAGGAATGGTTGAACATTTAAGACTTTAGGGTATAAGTCTTAGTGTTGTGTTAAGGTTACTCATTGTCCTAAAATGTTAGAATAAATTAGTGAATTTGTTGAAATCCTTAGTTAAGAAGCTAAGGTAGTGGACATAGACATCATTAAGGAAGGTTAATCAGTCTAAAATCCTTGTGTCATTTTCTTATTCCTTGTTAAAGCTTCCAATAAATTTCTATTGTCAATTCGCCCCCTCTTGAGTACTTTCTTTGATCGATCGACTAAACAGATTCTAATCAAGATTGATCTTAGTGTATTAATTCAGGACTTATATCATTTATCTGCATGAAAGATAAATCTGTATAAATCTCAAATAATTTAATTATAAGTTACTAGACAAAAACACAATGCATAACTCATTGCACGTAAGAAATTATAATCTATTAAATAGTTTGGTAAGAGACCCAAAGCACAAAAGCACTAATCTGTTAGGTTGCTAATTACTTGTGTCAAAAATGTCTTGATAATTTATCGCAAACAAAGATGAATAAATTGAAACATAAAACATAAAAAACGTATAAATTGATATATCGTAGGCATAAAAGAAATGCCTTTTAACTATCATTAAAGCAATGTACTTTCGACTATATGCCTTTTAACTACACCTGTCCATTCTACTAATTAGTACAATTCTTTCTTTTAAAATAATGAAATGCGTTTTTATTAAATATTATTAAAGCACAACTCTATATTAAAATAAACACTAGAAAACATAAAGAAAATAGTTACTTGTTTCTTCTAATCAGGTGGCTGAAAGGCTGATTCTAAGGAAAATCAAGGCCACTGGCACTATGGGAAAACAAAATGCCTAGCTCATTGGTTCATTCCTCCTTAAAATCTATGGCCATAAAGGAATCCATCAGCATAACATGCAATGTCCCATCAAAATACACCTACTGCCCTGCATCTCACTGAAGCAGGCTCTTCAAATGCCCCTCATATTCCTTACACTGTAAAAATCTTCCTCACTTTTCTCATGTTCCTACCGCAAACGGGGCAAGTTCCACCAGCCTCTGCTAATCTGCAAAACATTTATTCGAACACTTCAATTACGAAATATTTTTATCGAGTCAGCAAGATCACAAGTCTCTGATAAAAGCCAGTTTCAAGTCCCTGGAGTTAGTAAACTAAATAGAATCATGGCGGATAATAATTGGCAGATCATTGTATTTTTGGTGCAAGCTAAATACTGAACTGACTATTTCCAAAGCAACCTACTTTACATTTTAAATATTTTCCTAGTTCCACATGCAAAGCATGCCACACAGTGTCCACATACAAGGAAGAAGCATTCCCTTGGAGCATCGAAGCAAATTGCACCAAGTCGCCGGGTATTGTTACTATTTTCACCATCTCCTATTGATGTGGCTTCAAGAGAACCTGCCAGAAAGTCTTCAAGATCTGCCTCATAACTTGAGATGGAATCATAAGATGATCAACAACTTGAGATGTCATCAGCTTTGCGTGAAAGCAGAGGGGTTCAAGCAGAAGCGAACTCCCCATAATGAACACTCGCTTCATCTCCATGAGTAAATTGAAACTTGTTTAAGAAGTTTAAGGCAACCAACATGATTGCAGTCATTCCACCTTCAGAAGAAAAAAAATATAGTATTCAAAATTTTAAGAGGATATACCTGTAAATGTTGTAATGAGGGAATCAAGATAGAACTTACCAATGCCAACAATATACGTAATCCACCTTGGACCATATGACAATCTGACAGACCAGTCATTTGCAGATGAATGCTGTAGCAGCCAAAGAAAGGTACAAAACCAAATGTGAAGCCATTAAGGAAGATTCACAACATATATTCATTATGCCTCTGGTATGAAGAGTAAATGAATGAATCCATGATTCTAATACCATGGGAATGCCTATGTAACAACCTTTAAAACTACATAATGTTGAGATAAATTGAAAATAAGACTTTAGGTTTGTAGGAGAGATTTACCTGTTCTGGACCAGGAGAAGTCAAGACAATTGAATTTCCCTGAGGATATAAGATACTCAAGCTACACACACCATTAGCAAAGGTACACCTGTAGTAAGCTTCAGCCGTATTATAAATATAATCCCTGACTGCGAGGTTTAGTTCCACCTGTTCAATGTATCAACACAATTCTCGCATGAAGAAAACAAAGAAACCAAATAAGGGCAGGGAAATGGTACCCAGGAAAAAACATGGGTTTAGTAAAATAGAATGGCAGGCTTTTTGTCACCTAAAGCGTCTAATTGAACTTGAGAATGAGATATCACTAAAATGCATATAGTTTCCGCTCAAATCTGAATTGTTAGGCTCAATGTTTCTTGGGAATAAACACACAGATGATCATTTAAATGGATCCATGGCAATTCAGTTCTTCCCACTTTGCTTATCTGATACTCATATTGAACTTTTAACATGAAAAATTGAGACAATCAACATTATTGTTCTCATGATTCAAAGCCTTAGTTATCAAGGAAAACACTGCATCGGTTACTCTTATCATACAAATACCAATCCATGTTATAGTGAACATTTTACTTCAATAACTGCAGCCTGGTTGCACGTATAAACATCATCCCAAAGTTTTATTTGAAATAGCAGTTATTTTTATCATACAAATACCAATCCATGTTACAGTGTACTTTTTATTTCAATAACTGCAGCGATGCAGACTAGTTGCACATATAAACACCGTCATCCCAAACTTTAATTTGAAATAGCTGCATCTATGACATCCCACCACAGTTACAACTTACAAAGCAGTATTACTTTAGCGGATTAAAGTAGGACTCCCTTAGTCAGCAAATAATATTCATCAATCAAATCTTGAAATCCATTCCAACAAAACTAAATGAGACAAGCAGCTTGAAATAATTCTATTTCTAAAGTTGGTAAAAAGAGTCAGCTGGGATTTCAACATCTCAAATACTTTAACAGCACTCGAACAAAAAAATCAAATGAACAAACCAAGATAAGCAGGTCCAATTTTCATCATTACCTCAATCTCCTCTGAGTTCAGATTACCTAGTGCAACATAATAACTTGCAGATCTATATATAGCCAGCTCAATCATACCACTCCCTGCCAAAACTTCAAAAGTCAGAATAAAACTTTTTCTATGGCGAGAATATTCATTCTTTGTCACTTCTATCTCACCGTAACAATGTTCCATGATAAAGTCGTGTTAGGTTATGTGGGGTTCTCAAGCCATCGAGAAAGGCCCTCACTTTAAAAGGAGATGGTGAAACTATTACTTAATTACAACAATTTTGGACACACTTCTATACCGCTCGGGACTTGTTGCAAGATTTCAAGGCCATACGGTCTGGTTCGTCCAAGATGAGCCAAGCTTTCAGCCACAGCGTTCGCTTCTCGGGTAACATGAATGATTCTGACGCTCTAGTTTTGTTTAAGCAAAGCTCTTACTCGTCTGGTAACAGCAGGTTCATGACCTCGGGCGGCAGATGTTAAGCTTTTGACCTCGTCCATGTTATCCGTCTGGACCGTCTCTACTATAATGTTCCGAAAGCCGTGATTCCAAGCAATATTAAGGCCGTCAAAAACGCCCCACAACTGGTCTTGGAACATCGAACAACGACTGATATCCCGGTGATATCCTGACATCCAGTTGCCAAAATTGTCACGGAGCACACCTCCGCTCGCCGTCTCCATAGAGTTCTGATTCACTGCTCCATCCGCATTAATTTTCACGATCCCCGCGCATGGAGGTCGCCATTTCTGTTTCGGACTGGAAGTCTTCCCAAGCGGGCGTTCCTCGATAGTTTTTTTTTTTCGAATTCTTTGGCCCACATCCAGGCAACACGGGTCATTTGAGGCACCGACCAAATCTGCCCTTTAAAAATCAGGTTATTCCGTTGCTTTCAAAGTCTCCAAATTATAATGCCGAATAGATGCCTCCACTGGAACTCGTCATGGTCCAAACCTACGTCTTTAGACAGATTAGCATTAAGCCATTCATAAATATTAGAAGAAAATAAACCTTTCTCCTTTGATCTTGGTATGAGTTGTTCCCATAGAGAACGCGCCGACTGGCCAGTCTCGAAAGGCGTGAATGATTGTTTCCTCTCCGCTATGGCAAACTCGGCAAGTACTATCTGTGGTAAGGCCTTTTCTTGCTCTCTCCGCGTTCGTTATAAGCCGTTGGTGGAGAATAAGCCAAAAGAATTGCTTAATCCTGTGAGGCCCATCAAAACCCCACGTGATACTCCACAAATTATTGGAGGGATTCCATTTATCATGAAGAAGCTTTTGGTAAGCCTGGTAAGCCGAGCTAACGCTGCATTCACCTGTTTTATCTCAGCACCAAATAGGGTAATCCTCACCAATGTTGTCGTTAGGGGGAGGATTGGCTATCACCCACTGGAAGTTTTCGTCATACAAAACAGCCTTGAGAAGGTTGGTTTTCCACAGACCATCATTGTTGGCAAAATTGCGCACAGTGGCAAGCAGGTTAGCAATCCGATCCACGTTTGTATTGGTGATGAGAGGGTCTCGCCCTGGGATCTACCTATCCTTCCAAAACAAAGTGTCTTTAACATTACCAATAGACCAACAAGTGTTATCATACACAAAGCTCCAAATGCGCTTAATGGAATTCCACAAGAAGGAATCGCTGGTGTTACCGAGCATGGTTTTCAGAACCAGACCGGTTAGCGAACCGGTCATGCTATCGGTTTATTGATTCAATCGATCGAACTGGTCCGATCAGTCGGAAGAACCAGACGACGTCATAATTATTTAAAAAATTAAACAGAAATACCAAAAATGTTTAATAAAAAATAATTTTTTATATATCACAAGTCATATTCAAAACAAGTCATAATATATATAAATTAAAAACCATAAAATCAAGTGAAACAAAATGATTCAAATTAATTACAACATAATATTTAAGGCAAAACATATTAAATAATAAATATAATTATATAACTATAATTAAAAAATAATTTTGGGGCTAAAAAAATCATAACAAAATGATATTGTTTGGTTTAATTTTTTTTAAAAAAAAACAATCTCACATGACTAAGAAACATAGAAGAGCATCACAAAAGTCTAATGAGTAAAAATATGAGAACAAAACAATCTCACATTGCTAAAAAACATAGAAGAGCATCACAACTAACTTCTATAAATAATAGAGGTAATTTGGCATTCAAAATCATGGAGCCTTTTGGTGAGCATTGAGTGAACTATTCTTTCACTTCAATCAAGCTCGAATTTTAGGCTTCAATTGAGCTTCTAATTTTTTTTTTTAGTTCAAGCCTTTTTGAGTTCAAGTTTCAATATTATATTTCGAGTTCGAGTTGAACTTGATAATTTTTAACTTGTGAGTTTGAGTGGAGTTGAGCTTACTTTTAAAGTTTTCAAGTTCGAGTCGAGCTCAGCAATACTCGAGTTCGACTTGGCTCGTTTAACAAACGACGTTTGGTTTAATTTTTTTTTTAAAAAAAAACAAAATTTCCAGTTTTTTCCGGTTTTCAGCCGGTCCGGTTCGAATGGTTCAGCGGTTCTGACCGGTTCACTAGTAGCGATTCAACCGGTTTAGATTAAATCAGACTAGACAACGATTTCCGGTTGAACCGGCCGGTCCGGTCCGGTTTTCAAAACAGAGGACTTAATTGAAAAAATAATATATAAAGGGGTATTATTATAATTATTTCTAAATATATAATATAAAAATTATATATTTTCGGGTCGAGCTGGATATTTTTCACCCTACACCCGAACTCGACCCGACCAGAACCCGAATTTTTTTAAAAAAATTCGACCCGATCAGGTAAGGTCGAGTCGGATCCCGTTAGGTTCGAATCCCATTCCCATCCCTAAATGTAAGGTACTTTTTGTAACTCTTTTATGGACAAAGGGGCATACCGAGATACTTACCAAGTTCATCCGAACGTTGGAAGCCCAAGGAAGAACAAATCCTGTCCGTCAGGTTCTTATCAGTATTATCGGAAAAAAATATCTTGGTCTTGTTAGAGTTGATCTTGTGACCAAAATACCTACTAAATTTATCAAGAATAGCCCTAAGGATGTTAACCGGGTCCATGAGGATATGGTCATCCGCAAAGAAGAGGTGAGACAAACGGGTGGCCCACGTGAAAGAACCATAGGATCCCAGAGCTCGAAATCTACAACATAATTAATTCCATGAGCGAGGCGCTCCATACAAAGAACAAAAAGGTACGGTGACAGCGGGTAACCTTGGTGAATTTCGGGGGACGGCTTAAACTCATCCGAAAGGGTACCATTCCAAAGAACCTAAAAGGTAGATGTTGAAACGGCTTGCACAATGATTCGGTTAATGCTGTTAGGGCACTTCATATCTTTAAGAGAGCCTGATAGAAAATCCCATTTAACTCGGTCATACGCCTTTTCAAAATCAAATTTGATAATCATCCAATTGGTCATCCCTTTCTTTCTTCTCATCAAATGAACAATTTCTTGAATTACAATAATATTATCCGTAATATTCTTCCCTGCCACAAAGCTGACTTGATTATTTGCTATGATTTTAGGAAATATGGGCTTGAATCTATTCGCAATAATATTCAACAAAAGTTTATAGAGCACGGAACAGAGGCTTATTGGCCTAAAGACAGTGGAAGTTTCAGGGCTATCCGTCTTGGGGATAAGAACCAATAGCATTTTGTTGAACTCTGGATCCATTGGGTTCCCATCGAAAACACCACAAACCCAGAAGCAAACAGGCTGACCCATGGTTTGCCATTGACTTTGGAAGAACATGGCATGTAGTCCATCCTTTCTGGGGGATTTAAGTGAACTCATATCGAAATTAGCTTTCTTAATTTCTTCATCCGAAATCGCTGCATTCAACATGGTGTAATCTGCTTGAGAAAGACGGGGAAAAGCTCCTCTGATGGGAAACATGTCGATGATATTTCCTTCATACCGGTACAAAGAGGCAAAGAACTTAGTGGAAGAATTTGGTTAGTCTTGCGACGAACAAGCGCCCGGTTATGGAAGAATTTCGTATTTTTGTCGCCTTCCATAAGCCAGGTACTCCTCGACTTTTGTTGCCACAACAGTTCCTCATGGTCTAGGACCTCTTCAAGCTTAGTCTGAATGTCATGCTCTTCGGGAATAAAGCTATATGATCCCGTGATGTTCATCTCCTTATGAATTTTGGCAAGTCTTTTCATGAGAGCCTTCTGCTTTTGGATTATGTGACCATACGTGTTCATGTTCCAAGACATAAGCTCATTAGAAATATTGAGGATGGAACGAGATAAATTACCTCATGAAATCCACTTGTTATTGATGAAGTTTTCGAAATCTGGATGTTTCACCCATCCTGCAAGAAACCGAAAGTGTTTTGAAGACTTGTTATGTGACGCGGCCTTGGTTTGAAGTAAGATTGGTCAATTGTCGGACTTATTCCTGGTAAGATGATAAACGAATGACTCCAAAGCAAAGGTAAGCCATCTTTCATTCGCCACCATACGATCGAGCCTCTCGAAAACAGCACCTCTCATCCAGGTATAAGGGGACCTTTGAATCCTAAGTTTATAAGATCCTGATCATCCATGAAAGCTCGAAAGGAGGTACAGCTAGCTCCTATCCTTCGACCGCCTCTTTTCTCGTTACTAGAAAGAATAGCGTTAAAGTCTCCCGCAAGAATCCAAGGCAAGGTGCTGTTGTTACAGTTATTACTAAGGTCCCTCCACAAAGCTACCCTTTTAATCTTCTACGGGTTGCCATACACTGTTGTGACAAGGAACAAAGGTCCCGTTCCTTTGGACACTTTAGAGTGGATAAATTGTGGATAGACTCTTCTTAACACCTCAACTTTGATTAAGTGGTTCCATAAGATCCAGATCCCGCCAGAGTAACTGGTCGTTTCGCCTATGAAGGAATCTTCAAAACCAAGTTTAGCGACCACCTACTCTACTCTATGATCGCTGATCCGAGTTTCCATAAGAGCGGCCATATCAGGCTTATGCTACATGGTATACTCCTTAAGAATTTTCGGAAACCGAGTTTCGCCACAACCTTGATAATTTCAAGTTATGAGTTTAAAATCCATAAACAAAAAGGAAGGAGAGAATACTTAACTGAAAATTCTCAGGCATGCTATTAGTCATTTCAGTTTCTACGGCAGGCCCTTAGTTTGCTTATCTATAATACAAACCATTCTGAGGACAGCTTCCTGGACATTTGGTCGGGTATAGAGAGTAGCTTTGGCTTTAGGCCCCTTGTTCCGTACCACGTAGGGAGTACTACGTTCCTTAGTTCTAGTTGTACGCCGAAGAGAGGGTTTATCTGTTTAGGGGCTTGAGGGGCCTTGTTATTAGTGGCCTCGTTGAATCCCAAAACCATATGCTTGGATGCGTCCAAGGACGAGTTCTTGAATTCTCTAGTAACACCTAGGGAATTTTCAAACATAGGGTCAGTGTTAGAAATAAATTCAGCTCCATTAATGCTTACCCCAACAGGGAGAGTTTCGACTTGCATGGTTTCTGACGTAGGCAAAACTTTGCATGAAGAAACTCCATGCATGGACGTGTTTTCGCCAACTTGAGAGTGTTGCATGGGTCCCACAACGTTAGGTATGTCACTTCCCGACTTAGCCATCTATTGAGGTATCCTCATCATGGAGTTATTATTCTCTGGCCTAGTTTTCTGCAATGGGTTTCCTTTGTACGTTACAACTATTTTTGCTTTTGACCGTTTGTGAATCCAATATAGAAAGATTTTGAGTAGGAGTGATTTTATTTGTAGTATCCAAATTAATTCCCCGTTGATCATCCTCCGTGATTTGCTTATTCTTTCCATTCTTGTTTGAGTTCTCGTTTAACGCCTCAAACCGCGATCCCGATTTGGTAGTTTCCTTAGAGGAATCTGAATTTTTTGCTGCTGCCGTTTGGGGTCGTCTCCGACGTTTCTCGACCA